TCTGAGGTGCCCAAGAAACACTTGACCTGCCTTATCTCCGAGAAGCCCTACAAGGGAGGTGCTATTATTGCAATCCCCATTTTACAGGTAGAGAATCTGAGGGTGGTTGTGTGTGTGTGTGTGTGTATGTGTGTGTGGTGTGTGTGTGTGTGGTGTGTGTGTGGTGTGTATGTGTGGTGTGTGTGTGTGGGGTGTGCGTGTGTGTGGTGTGTGTGTGTGAGGGGTTGTGTGTCTGTGGTGTGTGTGTATGTGTGTGTGGTGTGTGTGTGGTGTGTGTGTATGTGTGTGTGTGTGGTTGTGTGTGTGGGGGGTGTGTATGTGTGTGTGGTGTGTGTATGTGTGTGTGTGGACTCACACCCAGGCTCTCAGCCTCTCTCCCTGCCTGCATCCCCCTCTTCCCTCCCTCCTAAAGCTGGCATGAGTTTGGAATGTGTAATAACAGCCTTCAGGGCAAATTAGAACAGGGAGTAAACTCTTTTTCTGGCCACAGAGAACAGGGCAGTGTTTGGGGAGGGAATTGCCACAGAGCAGCAGAGCCGGGTGTGTGTGTGTGTGTGTGTGTGTTGTCGTTGTGTGGTGTGGTGGTGTGTCCATTGTTGGTGTGTGTGTGGTGTGTGTGTGTATCGTGGTTGTGTGTGTGTGTGTGGTGTGTGTGTGTGTGTGGTGTGTGTGTGTGTGGTGGTTTGTTGGTGTGTGGTAATGTGGTGTGTGTGTGTGTGTGTGGTGTGTGTGTGTGGTGTGTGGTGTGTATGTGTGGTGTGTGTGTACGTGTACGCATGCCTATGTGTATGTGTACACGTGAGCTGGTGCGTACACACCCCTGAGTGCTGTGATGTGGAAGGAGCCCAGGGCTAGGAGTCTGGAGGTTTTCTTCAAAGCCATTTGCTCCCTAGCTGGCCTCTCAGAGCCTCCATTTCCTTAGCTGTAAAGTGGGAGCGGTAGCCTAGCTTTGTCCAGGTTCTTCGGGAGATTAAATGAGAGAGGGGCTTGGTGGATTTTAGCATGGGCTATAAAATGCCAGGCTGTACTTCTGGCACGTGTGTGCATGTGTGTTTTGGGGAAGGGGAGTAAGGGAGGACAGGTAAATCAGGACTGTATCATAGTGGTGATGATGATGATTAAATATGACAAGATCAAACATTTAGCAAGTATTTCTGAGGTGCCCAAGAAACACTTGACCTGCCTTATCTCCAAGAAGCCCTACAAGGGAGGTGCTATTATTGCAATCCCCATTTTACAGGTAGAGAAACTGAGGCTCAGAGAGATGATAATGGGCAGGCAGTAATCATCCCTACCTCCTGGGGTGGTTGGGAAGCTCGAAGGAGACACTAAATGCTCAGGTGGCACCCTGGTACTCCATCACTAACCTGCTGTGTGACCTCAGGTAAGTCACTTAGCCTCTGTGAGCCTCAGTTTCCTCATCTGTAAAATGGGAATGATTGCAATACCTATTTCTAGGGGAGATTTTCTCAACCTCAGTGTTGTTGACATTGTTGACTGGGTTATTCTGTGTGGTGTGGGGCTGTCTTTTGTATTGGAGGATGTTTAGTGCCATCCGGCATGGTGGATCCCAGCAAAGGCCCCTGTGCAGGCCCAGCGAGGTGGCCGAGCTCACTGGTGGGGAGGCCTTCCCCCTCTCCTCCCTGGTCAATCTGTTTGAGGGTGAGGATAGCTCCCTTTCACCCTCACCTGGCACCCAGGACATCCCCAGTGCATGGAGGGATTCAGCCCGGACTCTGCAGCCAGCTGCTCGCATTTCAGTCCTGGCTCTGTCACTGACCTGCTGTGTGACCTCAGGCAAGTCGCTTAGCCTCTCTGAGCCTCAGTTTCCTCATCTGTAGAATGGGAATGATTGCAATACCTACCTCCAGGGCAGGTGTTCTCAGTCCCGACGCTATTGACATTGTGGGCTGGGTCATTCTTTGTGGTGCGGGGCTGTCTTTTGCTTTGGAGGATGTTTAGTGCCATCCCTGGCCTTGACCTACCAGATGCCAGCAGTGCTCCCTCTCCTGTACAGTTGTGACAACAAAACATATTATCAGATATTACCAAATGTCCTTAGGGGAGGAGCGGAACTGTCCCTGGTTGAGAACGACTGGTCTGGAGTCATGGTGAGGGCTAGATGAGGCCCCATGCTGGGCACAGCCTGAGCTATGTCATCAGGCGAGGATGGTGATTTAGTTCATAATTATTATTTCATCCTAATTAGAATGCTAATCATGATCGTGGCATGACTTGCCCAAGGCCACACGGAAACCAGACAGGTTGAGAGTTGCTGGGAGGGGATCTGAACCCGGGATTGGCTGGCACCAGAGCCCCCATTTTGGACTCCCCAGGAACCTGGGGTGCTGTCCAGGCTTAGGGGAGGGCTATCCTCCTGAGGGGAGGAGGGTGCAGGAATGATGGGGGATGGAAGGAGCTTCTTGGCTGCCTTCTCTGGCCTTGGGAGCTCCCTGGGGGGGGGTCCAATAACCCCCGGGGGGCCAAGGGTGAGAGGTGCAGTGGATAGAAGGGTATTGACAACACAGAGGGTGTGCCTGATGTCTTGTCTCCCCCTGATCTCAGGGCCCCCAGTGAGGTGGGCAGGGCTGTGCTCAGGAGAGTCTAATCCGCCTCCCGCCAATGCCTGGGCCCCTGCAGATGCCCCTCCTGCCTCAGCATCCCCCCGGCCCCCATTCCTGAAGAGCAAAGCCCAAACGCATGTGGCAGCCATGAGGGACTGGGATCCAGATCCCCCTCTCCTACCTGGCCAGTCAAAAGGACTTCATGTCTCCAGAGGTCCTACTAGGTGCTGGCACTGAGTAGGTGCCTCACATGCTGGAGGACCCTAGGAACAGGCGTGGTCACTCCAGTCTTGCAGGTGGGAAAACCAAGGGGCAGAGAGAGGAAGTGATTTGCCCATGGCCAAACAGCTAATGACCAGGGCCAAGACAGGAACTGGGTCGGTCTGATTGCAGAACCTGGCCTCCTAACTTCTCTTTCTTCCTTTAGTTATAGTAACTGAAAACCCCACTCTATTTATTTATTTTTAGATGGAGTCTTGCTCTGTCACCCAGGCTGGAGTACAATGGTGCCATCTTGGCTCACTGTAACCTCCACCTCCTGGGTTCAAGTGATTCTCCTGCCTCAGCCTCCTGAGTAGCTGGGATTACAGGCACATGCCACCATGCCCGGCTAATTTTTGTATTTTTTGTAGAGATGGGGTTTCGCCATGTTGGCCAGGCTGGTCTCAAACTCCTGACTTTAAGTAATCCACCTGCCTTGGCCTCCCAAAGTGCTGGGATTACAGGCGTGAGCTGCTGCACCCAGCCAAAACCCCACTTTAATCCCAGAAGTGGCACTGGATATACCTGACCTCACTTCCCACTGCCTCCAACCCTATGAAAAAGTGACTTCAATTGTATCCATTTTGCAGAGGAGGGAACTGAGGCTTGGGGAGCTCAAGTAACTTACCTAAGATCACACTACATGTAAAGGGATTAGAACCCAGGCCTGAATGACTCCAAAGGCCAGGCTGTGTCTCCCTGTTGGTGTCCAGAGGGGAGCCCGCCCCCGGAGGGAGCTCTGACCCTCTGTGTCCTGCTGCGCCCACTAAGGGAGTCCTCTTGCTGTGTCCCCGCCTCTCTGGTCCAAGCCTTCCCTCCTGGAAGCCACAGAACAAACAAGGTGGGAACTAGTTTATTTGTTTTTCTCCGTGTGTATTGGGTGGGAAGGGTGAGATGTATAAGAGAGGGCTTTTCAGACATGCTCCTGCCTCCTGGGTGGGGTGCTAAGAGTTCCAGGAAACTCACCCTCGGTGCCCAGCCCCGCCTAGCTGGCACCATGCTACACAGAACAGGGGGCTGACAGCCAACCAGTGGGGCCTTGCTCCTCCCTTGCCCTGGCTCCTGGCTAAGCACTGGACCCAGGAGCCAGAGAGACGTGGTTCAAGTCCAGCCCTTCTCCCTGCAGGCTGTTTGCTGCCTTTGAAACCTGCTTCCTCATCTGAGAAATGGGAACAAATGACATCTTTGTCATAAAGTTGCTCATTTGTGTGAGGACTCAAGGATGAACAGATACGTTTCCTGCCTCCTTGCGCCCACAGCCTGGGAATGAACCATCCCGTGAACAGCTGGGATAAAGCTTCCGAGGAGACGAGCACAGATCCTGGGAACGAGTGTGTGCAGTCCGGGGAGGGCTTTCCAGAGGAGCCCAGTTGAGCTGGAACTGGGGAGTTCCAGTGGGGAGGAGTTAACCAGGCAGAGGTGCAGGGAGGAATCAGCACTTTGTGCTGTGGAGCAGAGTTGGTGCACTGGGGAAGTCAACTCAAGTCTTGGAGCCTCAGTTTCCTGTTCTGTAAAATGGGGATCATCATGACGGTGTTTGATGAGGAAACAGGACTGCCGGCCCACACAGCAAGTCCACATGGATTTTCTGAGCCCTTCCTGTGCCTGAAGCCCACGGTTAATAGTTCTGCTTTAGCAGGTGCTTACCACGTGCCAGGCACTGCTCTGCACTGGCCACTGGACTGCATGTTCTACCCATGGGGCTTGGATATTCCCATCTTACAGATCAGGAAACTGAGGCTGTGACTTGCTCAATGTCATGGAATGACGAAGTGTGGAGCCTGGATTTGAACTTGGCTCTCTGGGGCTCCACAGCTGGCTTTCTTGGTCAGCAGTAGGGTCTGGGATCCAAGTATGGGGTCCCAGCATGACCCCAAAGTCCACCCTCTTTCAGCTAATGCCCAGGGTAGTTGGACCTGGGGCCAATTTGTGTTTCCAGGTTCCTAAAAGAGGCTCCTGTTGCAGTTCCCGCCTGAGGCTGGCGGCCAACCACATCTGGGAGTGGCCTCCCTGCGCCCCTGTCATTACAACGGTGGCTTTGAAGCAGCTGGCAGCACTGCTGCTTGTCTACGTGGGAGGGGGCTTCCTGGAGCCCCTGCCACTGGCTGGGTTTTGCCTGACTCCCCTTTCATCCCCTTGCAGGCTGAGCAGTGCAGACGGGCCTGGGGCAGGCATGGCGGATTCCAGCGAAGGCCCCCGCGCGGGTCCCGGGGAGGTGGCTGAGCTCCCCGGGGATGAGAGTGGCACCCCAGGCGGGGAGGCTTTTCCTCTCTCCTCCCTGGCCAATCTGTTCGAGGGGGAGGATGGCTCCCCTTCGCCCTCACCGGCTGATGCCAGTCGCCCTGCTGGCCTAGGCGATGGGCGACCAAATCTGCGCATGAAGTTCCAGGGTGCCTTCCGCAAGGGGGTGCCCAACCCCATTGATCTGCTGGAGTCCACCCTATATGAGTCCTCGGTGGTGCCTGGACCCAAGAAAGCACCCATGGACTCACTCTTTGACTATGGCACCTATCGTCACCACCCCAGTGACAACAAGAGGTGGAGGAAGAAGATCATAGAGTGAGTATTGTTAGATTCCTGGCCTGTGGTCTCCTCCTCTGTATCCATTCACCCATTCATCATCCACCCCTCTATCTATTATCCACATATTTGTCAATTCATCCATCCATCCATCTATCTATCTGTCCATCCATCTATCCATCTGTCCATCCATCCATCCATCCATCGATCTAACCATCCATCTATCCATCCATCCATCCATCTGTCCATCCATCTATCCATCTGTCCATTCATCCATCCATCCATCGATCCAACCATCCATCTATCCATCCATCCATCCAACCATCCATCTATCCATCCATCCATCCAACCATCCATCTATTCATCCATCCATCCATCCATCCATCTATCCATCCATCCATCCAACCATCCATCTATTCATCCATCCATCCATCCATCTATCCATCCATCCATCCAACCATCCATACATCTATCCATCAATCCATTCATCTCTCCATCCATATATCATCCATCCATCCATCCATCCATCCATCCATCCATCCATCCATCTATCCATCATCCAGCCATCTATCATCTATCCATCTTTCCATCCACCCATCATTCATCATCCATCCATCCATCTATTCATTTATCCATCATCCTTCCATCTATCCATCTATTCATCTATCCATCATTATTCCATCTGTCCATCTATCTACTATCCACCCATCTATCCATCTACCCATCATCCATCCATCCATTCATCCATCATCCTTCCATCTGTCCATCTATTCATCCATTCATCATTATTCCATATGTCCATCTATCCATTAATCCATCCATCCATCCATCCATGCATCATCTATCTATCCACCCATCATCCATCCATCCATCCATCCATCCATCCATCCATCCATCCATCTACCCATCTATCCATCATCCATCCATCTTTTCATCATCTATCTATTAATCCATCATCCATTCCTCTACCCATTTACCCCTCTGTCCACCCTTCCATTGGACATTTGTCTGTTCATCCATTCATCCATTCATTCACCGATTTACCCATTCACCCCTCCACCCACTCATTTATACAACTATTTACTCATCTAACTCTCCATTCATTCATCTGCTTTTTTTTTTTCTTTTTGAGATGGAGTCTTGCTCTGTTGCCCAGACTGGAGTGCAGTGGCGTGATCTTGGCTCACTAAAACCTTCACCTCCTGGGTTCAAGCAATTCTCCCGTCTCAGCCTCCTGAGTAGCTGGGATTACAGGCACCCGCCACCACACCCAGCTAATTTTTTTTTGTATTTTTAGTAAAGACAGGTTTTCACCATCTTGGCCAGGCTGGTCTTGAACTCCTGACCTCGTGATCCACCTGCCTGAGCCACTGCATCCAGCCTCATCTGCTTTTTTATTCACCTACATATCTACCTACTCATCTGTCCCCCATTCATCTACTTGTCTGTCCGTCTCTTCACCTACACATCCAGCCTTCCATTTGTTTATCTTCTTATTTATACATCTGTTCATCCATCCATCCATCCATTTATCCATCTACCATCTACTCATTCATTCACCCAGATGCCCATCTTTCCACTTTTTTGTCCACCTGTCCAATCTATCCATCCATTGTCCACTCATTAAAATATCTATCTACCCATCTACCCATCTGTCGGCCATCTGTCCAGCCATACACCCATATAACCAACCTTCCATTCATCTACCATTTTCTCGTCTGAATGTCATTCCATCCTCTCACCTACCCACTGTTTCTATTCATCTAGCCATTCAGCTATCAAACTATTCATTCATTCATTCATTCATTCCATTTCTCATGCTTGATTGCTCACCTGCCTGCCTTCTGTCTTTCTTTCCCCTCCTTCTCTCTTCTAACCGCCAGTTTATTTACCCAGCTCTCTGTCCATCCATTTGTCCATTCGTTCCTTTGTTTGCTTAGTCACTGATTCATTTATTCATTTGCTCAACTTTTCTTTCATTTTTGCATCTATTCATCCATCCATCTCCCTACCTTCTCTTCCTGGCACACATCCAGCTGCCCCTCCTGGGTCTTCTTCAAGCATCACCTCCATTCCTGGCCATCCAGTGGCTTTCCTGAGGCTTAGAAAGAGCTGGAAACCCCGAGGCATTCACCCTTTCTTTTCCATAATGACAGCCTTGCTGAAAGAAAAGACAGTGGAGAGAAGCCCTGGATGGGGTGACAGCATGTGGCTCCTGTTATGTATTCCATGCCAGGCCTAGCTGGGGACAGGGAGCCTCCAGCCCACCTCGACCACCTTGTCTGGTCCCCATCCTCCCCCAGTGGGTTCTGCTGAGCTGAGTCTTGCAGCCCAGACTCTAGACTCAGAGGCATTTGCCTGGCATCTCATGTGGTTTGTGTGGCACTCTGCAAACTCAGTCATCCCAGGTTCTGCTTCCAGCATGACCCTGTTGTCTGTCACCTGCAGACTCCCTGCTTTGTGAGGTTGAGCCCTCCCTCCTAGTCCTTTAGGAAGCCCAGGGACTTCCACGAGCTTTTGGCAGTTTGGGGAAGGGAGCAGGGCTTACAGTCTTCTAGCCAGCTCCTCCTGAGCCTCAGCAGGCCCTGCTGAACCATACATATCCTTTCTCGGTCCCGGCCCTGCTGTCCCTAATGTGCCCTGAATTGACCCTTTCCTCAGCTGCTCCGTGAAATCCCCTCTTGGTTGCCTGTGTGTGTGTCCTGGAGGATGGTCCTGAGGTCTGGAGATGACCTGGGCTTGCCTGGTCCTCCTCTGTTCCCCTTGCTGGCCATGGATTCATTTATCTCTTGGATGGAGCCCATTCACCTTCGCAGCCCTTGCTTGGTCAAGAGCTGCCCGCTTTATTTTTTCAGAGTCATTGATTCATTCAGTGGATGTTTCTTTTCCTTTTCTTTCTTTTCTTTTTTTTTTTTTTTTTGGAGACAGGGTCTTGCTCTGTCACTCAGGCTGGAGTGCAGTGGCGCAATCTTGGCTCACTGCAACCTCCTCCTCCCAGGTTCAAGTGATTCTCCTGCCTCAGCCTCCCGGGTAGCTGGAACTACAGGTGTGCACCACCACGCCCGGCTAATTTTTGTATTTTTAGTAGAGACAGGGTTTTACCATGTTGGCCAGGCTAGTCTCGAACTCCTGACCTCAAGTGATCTGTTCACCTCGGCCTCCCAAAGTGCTGGGATTACAGGCGTGAGCCACCACGCCCAGTCAGTGGATGTTTCTTGAGTGCCCACTATCTGCCAGTCAGTGGGGTTGGTCCTGAGGCTACTGGCTGAGCCAGACCAGATCCACCTCTACTCAGGCAACACTTTCAGTTTAGAGGGTGAGACAGGCAAGAAGCAAGTAGCTGAGCACATGGATATGCCATGTGAGTTGGGGGAGGTGCTGAAGTTAGAGACTGGGTGGATACAAGAAAGGTAATCCAGGAGGGTTTCTTGGAGGAGTCAACATTCAAGCCTAAAGCTAAGGGCTGCGAAGGGGCAGCCACAGAGAGGGAGGGAAGGGTGTCCTAGGTGGAGAGAAATGTGAGTACAAGGGCCTAAGGCTGGAGAGGCTCTGCAGATATGTCCAAGGAACAGGGCTTCACAGTTGTCTGTGTGCTGAAAAATCTGTACCACCTCTGCTCAGAGGTGGAAACTGAGGGCCAGAGCAGCAGAGTGCCCAGGGTTCCCATCCTTCTGTCCCCAAGCCCTCCAGGTCCTGTTGAAAGCTAGTGGGCTCTGTGTCTCCCCTTCGCCTCCCTCGGACCCCTCCTGCAAGCCCTCCTCCCCACCCCCACCCCCACCCCAGGAAGTCCAGGCTGGTGGAGGAAGTGGGGCGCTGCTGAGTCCTGAGGGCTGCCTCAGTGAGATCTGGCAGGGGCAGTATTCCTTTTTATTTTGGCTCAAAGGTCAAAGTTCAGGAAGAGGTATAGTGGTGGCTGCCTAAGTGCCCTCATTAGAGGCTGTGTCTGTGCCTGTGCCTCTGTCAACAGGAGAGCACACCTCTTACCCTACTGTGGATGCTAATGACCCCCTTTCCCAGCACCTGCCCTGAGATGGAAAATCTCAACCCCCGGTGAAGAGGAAAGGAAGAGAATGGCTGTCCCCTTCTCATGGCAAGACAGGCTGGGTACAGCCAGATGCCAGCTTTGTCCACCCTTGCAACCCTGTCCCACCTGCTTCCACAACCTGCCCTGGCCTCAATTTCCCCAACTGCATTCCCCCTTCCCCTCTGGCCCCGCTGCCTCTTGTTAGGGTTTTCTCTGTTCCCCTACTCTCCCCTCTTCTCCTTCCCAGACCCTGTGCCTCCATCTTCCTCCTCTTTAGCCTCTTATTCATTGAACAGAGTCTTACTGCATCCCAAGATGTGCCAGGCACTGGGCCAGGTAAGAACGTGACAGAGAGAGCATTCCTGCCTCATGGTGGCCCTGGACTAGCTCTTCTCTCCCAGAACCTAGCATATAAAAGGTGCCAAAAAAATGCTTGTTGAATGACTGAATGAGTGTCTCCAAGCCCTCCTTCTCTTAGTGTCTGTTTCCTTCCTTTCTCCATCTCTTCTCTTCCCAACCCTCTCTGTGCCACGCCCTTCCTCCATCTGCCTCTGTAGCTCCACATCTCTCCCATGCACATACAAGCTCCAGACACACAGTAGGCACTCATTAATAATGGTAATATCAACTAACATTTATTGAGTGCTTACCTTGTGGTGGGCCATGAGCAAGTACATATGAGCATGGCCTCATTTGTCTCAAATGTTTGCTGAATGAATACATTAATGGGTTAGTTATGGAATGAATGGATTAAATGCCTCATCTTTTAGTCTGCTGTTTCTTTATTTTCTCTTTCTTTTTGTCTCTTTCAGTCTCTCTGCCTTAGTAAGTACTCAATAAATGACTAATACATGAGTGGGTGGGTGGGTGGATGGGCAGTTGGATGGATGGATGGATGGGTGGGATGGATGGGTGGATTGACGAGTGGGTGGATGAATGAATGAGTAATGAATGGATGGGTGGATAGATGGAGGAGTGAGTGGATGGGTAGATGAATGAATGAGTGATGGATGGGTGGATGGGTGGGTGGGTGGGTGGATGTGTGGATGGATAGATGAGTGATGGATGGATGGGTTGGTGGATGGGCAGATGGATGGATGAGTGGGTGGATGGACGGATGAGTGAGGGATGGATGGATGGATGGATGAGGGATGGATGGATGAATGAGTGATGGATGGATGATGGGTGGGTAGGTGGATGGGTGGATGCTGAGTGGGTGGATGTATGGATGAGTGATGGATGGATGGATGGGCAGGTGGGTGGATGGGTGGATGAATGGATGGATGGGTGGGTGGGTGGATGGGTAGATGGATGGATGAGTGATGGATGGATGAGTGGGTGGATGGATGGATGAGTGATGAATGGATGGATAGGTAGGTAGGTGGATGGGTGAATGGTGGGTGGGTGGATGGATGGATGGATGAGTGGGTGGATGGATGGATGGATAAGTGATGGATGGACGGGTGGATAGATGGAAGAGTGGGTGGATGGGTAGATGGATGGATGGATGAGTGATGGATGGATGGATGGGTGAGTGGATAGATGGAGGAGTGGGTGGGTGGGTAGATGGATGGATGAGGGATGAATGGGTAGGTGGGTGGATGGGTAGATGGATGGATGAGTGATGGATGGATGGGTGGATAGATGGATGAGAGGGTGGATGGGTAGATGGATGGATGAGTGATGGATGGATGGAAGGATGGATGGATGGATGGATAGATGGACGGGTGGGTGAGTGGATGTGTGGATGGATGGGTGGATAGATGTATGGGCAGTCTGTGCGTTTCTTTCTTTCTGTTTGTCTCCACCCAACACACAGTAGTACTAGCTATCGTTTGTTGGATAAAACATTCCTTAGTTTTTACAGCTGCCCCACCTACCTCACTCTGTTCCTTGTAGGGCTTCAACTGCCTGCCCCCCGCCACAGTCTCTGGGTCCCTAAGGCCAGGGACAGTGGGGCAGGCAGGGGACGAGCCCTCCCATCAACTTGCCTCCCTACCTCCTCCAGGAAGCAGCCGCAGAGCCCCAAAGCCCCTGCCCCCCAGCCGCCCCCCATCCTCAAAGTCTTCAACAGGCCCATCCTCTTTGACATTGTGTCCCGGGGCTCCACTGCCGACCTGGATGGGCTGCTCCCCTTCTTGCTGACCCACAAGAAACGCCTGACTGATGAGGAATTTCGAGGTGAGCCACCCAGATGGGCATAGCCAGTGGGACAGCCAGGGGTGTGGGGGAAGCCTGGCATTGGGGGCCCCCTTTTCCCTCAGCTTCTTCCTTTGGGTCAGTGGACTGCATTGGCCTGGAAAGTGCCAATGGACAGGGAGTCTGGAAAGTGCCAGACTGGACAGGGAGTCTGGTCCTGTGTGTCCTTCACCTCTCTGGGCCTCAGCTACCTCCACTCGTTCATTCATTCATTCATTCAGCCCTTATTTATGAAAAGGTTAGTGTAGTGGGTAAGCAGAGTCCACCTACCTGGGTTCAGATCCCACCTTTGCCACTTAAGTGATGTGTGACTTCTCTGAGCCTCTGTTTCCTCATCTGTAAACTGGGGAATAATCACAGCATACTCCTGGCTCTCATCCCACAAAGAACCCAGTGCAGGCAGCTGGAGTCCTGGAGCTCCTGCTCCCCTGAGGAAAGGTCTGGAGGGATGGGCAGGGTGTCCGGGCTGGTAGTCCTGATTCTACTTCTTGGGGTCTGCTCCACCCCAGCCCAACTTTAGGGCTCCCCTTCCTAGGCTGAAGCCCCAGCCCAGAGAACTCACCCTTCAGCCTTGTCCAGATTCAAAACACCCACCTCAGGACACCGGCACCCTCCACAGCCCCAGGCCTTACCTGTGAACACCTGCACCCAAATCAGCCACCTGCGATGTGCTGGGTTCTGGGTAAGCCATTATTAAACTGGCCTTGATCTCACAAGTCAAGATACCATGTCAAGAAATGTAACACTTAGGCCGGGCATGATGGCTCACCACACCTGTAATCCCAGTGCTTTGGGAGGCCAAGGCAGGAGGGTTGCATGAGCCTAGGAGGCTGAGGCTGCAGCACTCCAGCCTGGGTGACAAACAGAAGAAAAGAAAAGAATTGGGACACCTGCTATGAAGAAGGGCCCATCTTGGAAGGCTGTCCATGGTTGGTCTCCAGCCTAAGTCTGAGGAAGCTTCAGGGATGTCAGAAGAGGCCTTTTTTTTTTTTTTTTTTTTTTTAGACAGTTTTGTTCTTGTTGCCCAGGCTGGAGCGCAAAGGCGTCATCTCTGCTCACCACAACCTCCACCTCCTGGGTTCAAGTGATTCTCCTGCCTCAGCCTCCCAAGTAGCTGGGATAACAGGCATGTGCCACCACGCCTGGCTAATTCTTTGTTTTTAGTAGAGACGAGGTCTCTCCATGTTGGTCAGGCTGGTCTCGAACTCATGATCTCACGTGATCCGCCTGCCTCAGCCTCCCAAAGTGCTGGGATTACAGGCATGAGCCACTGCGCCCAACCAGAAGAGGCCATTTTTTAAGACTTCAGTTACTTTAAATAAATTCAGTTCCCAAACAGGGTGAACAAGTCTGTGCTACATCATCCGCATATATCTTTATCAACCTGTTTCTTTTTTTTGAGATAGGGTCTCATTCTGTCGCCCAGGCTGGAATGCTGTGGTGTGATCACAGCTCCCTGCAGCCTTGAACTTCTGGCCTCAAGCAATCCTCCTGCTTCAGCCTCCAGAGTAGTTGGAACTACAGGTGCAAGCTACCATGCCTGGCTAAAATTTTTTTTCTTTTTTTTAAGAGACAGGCTCTCACTATGTTTCCCAGGCTGGTATCAAACTCCCACCTTTGCCACTTAAGTGATGTGTGACTTCTCTGAGCCTCTGTTTCCTCATCTGTAAACTGGGGAATAATCACAGCATACTCCGATGGATGGATGAGTGATGGATGGATGGAAGGATGG